GCACGACGTGTTCTCGGGTAACGGGATGCATGAAGAAGGACATTGTGTTATAGGGCTGGCTCACAGCCCCGAAGGCACTCAGTAGAGCTATGAGCGTGACGCCTACAACTCCAAGCCGACTGATAATCTGTTCCATGCCGAACACGGCGTGATTCCGGTGCCCGATAGGGAACTTGTCCCCCAGTTTCCAAAACAGCACGGCGAAACTCAGCCATAGCGCGAACGAAAACAGTTTTCTCGCCAGGGGAAACCCGATCAGGCACGTAGTGTTCTCCATGACATGTCGGCCTACGTTGAGCGGTATGACAACGGTGAGCATAATTAAGAGCAGACCGAGCACCGTTCGCCAGACGACCGGTCTCGACGAGGCTTCGAGCGCTCCACAAATTTCGAAAACCACCAGCTCGAACAACGTGCAGCAGAGAGCGAACGTCGTGGAGAATAGGGCGCGCGGTACCGTACCGGCTCCACGTAGCTCGTGGTTCCGGTACAGAGCGCGCACACAGAAAGTCCATCCTCCGATGAAAAACACGATCTGAGAGCACAGAACCACCACTGTGTCCCGCAGCAGGACCAGATTCATGTTAATGGCCAGCCGGGCACGGAGAAAGCGACAGCAACCACCGCTCGGACGCAGCGATTCCCGACTCGCTCCAATAACCGACTCGGTGGTGGCGGCGAAAGCCAGCTCTCCTAGCTCGTCTTGTACTCTGCTGAATGGTCTGTCAGCCATCACGCGAGCCAGGGGGAACGATTCGAGCTTAGACGGCTCATTTTCCGCTACATTCCACCTGACCTCTGGTGAGCACCGTGAACCGGCAGCCTGGAAGGGGAATTCCGTGTCTCGCGGTTCCGGAAAAAAAACTTAGTATGTACTCCGGGCAGATATCAAATAATTCACGACAGTCGAGTGTTCATTAGAAGTTTCTCCTGTCGATTTGTCGCGTACCCGCGACTCTAATCGTTCATGGGAGGAACCATTCCGGGCCTTCTCCCTCCGGTGCTCCGGTGGATCGAGCTGTACGGAATTCCGAAACGGGAGACTTCTGTTCACTGCTCATAGTATCGCCTGGAACTGCTTGAATGAGGCGATTCGGAAGCAGAGGATGCTGACCGCGCAAGAGCTCGACTGGTGCTAGACGTTTATATGGAACATACATAACGTCGAATCCGCATTCTAGGCAGTCTGGTTTCGGTCGAGACACGTCGCCGTGATTCTGCAAAGCCACAGCGCCTAGAGCTGCCGTCAGCGGTAGTCGAAGCAAACGAAACAGGCTGCGGGGGAATGACTAATAAGTCCCAACCGCCGCCTGTCGTCGTGAAGGAATGAGGAGACGGATCCGGGGGGAAAAACTCATCATCAGTTTACCGCTGGTTCCCCGTGTCGACAAGATGAGTCGGTAAGGGCTCGTCAGTGTGCTCGGTTTGAGCAATCGTACTCGCTATAGTCGTCACTCACTCGCTCCATCGATTCTTCGGCTTATTAAGCGAACGCGCCAGCTGGCGAGTCCGGTGCGGCGCGGCTGCTGGTCAAGCGAGACCGATGACGTCGAACCGGTGTAAGGTGTTGTCCGATAATCGGAACCTTGGACTTATGTTCGAGGGTACTACTAATAAAAAACGTCCGATATCGACCCTTACAATTGAAACCCGAGTTTCCCGGGACGGATACAAGGAATGATCAGCAAGTAAACGGCACCCGGAACCCCGCCGACCCGGAGCGGCGCGGTTGCAGCGGTCCCTAGTTAGCAAAAGCAAGCGCCGCATTGAGATTTACATTTCCGAAGCGGAGAACAGGCTCTAATCGTTCGGGAGTCCAGGTTTTCACTGTCGTCCAGCTGCAACTCCGCTGATGCCGGCAGGCAACTGCAGAACGACGTATAAAAGTTTTTACGACTCAAACGTCACACGGGGCGGCCTGCTCTCTGGCTGTGCCACGATCCGGTAGCTGTTCGGCTCGACTCGGGGCCAACTTGCCAATTTTGTACGGAAATCTGACCATTTCATCCGATAGCCTCTCCACGTTCGCTTAAAAATCTCTCCACACAGACTTAACTGAGCGTTGGACGCCGAAATGGACGTACTCTGCTGTAAAAGCGTCCCGCCATAAATTTTGCGCAAGCTCCGTATCGGCGGAGCGAGACAATCATTCCATAACAGCTGTTTCGAAAATCGTGCGCGGAAAACTAAGAGCAAGCCCGAGCAGGTAGGCCGGGGATTGCGACTCCGAGAGGGGAGTGATTCCGCTGCCCCGTGTCTTGACTCCCGCCGACGAGATCGGCAGCGAATGGACCGATACGGCATCGCACATCATAGAAACGTGAAGGCATTGGAAGCAGTCACGCGAAGCAGAGAAAAATGTGTGAATGCGTTCCGGCAAAACACATGCCCTTGCGCTGCACTCGGAGGCAAGACGCTGCGTTGTCGACCGAGCATTGAAACAGCTGAGATGAGCTATGAACGGAAACGAATGTACCGATCAGCGCTATCCATGCGTGTATGACAAATGCAAACAGCGAGGCTGGCTAGGGGGCAATCAGAGAAAAACACGCAGAATGCGAACCTTACCGAAAGTCGGGCTCGGAACCTCCGAAGGAGCTCGGAGCGGAACCCCGAGCTCCTTTTGAAATTAGTTCCATGCTCGGGAGATCGTCGAGAAGAATCAATTAAGACCGGTCGATTACATGCGTGATCTCGGCCGAAAATGATTTTCCCTCGTCGAGGGAGAAATCCAATCTCGAAGTCTTTTTCTCCCCGAGTGGTCTCCAACGATGCGCGACTCCTTCTTGAATTCCATCTCTGAACCAATCCTCAATGAGAGCATAAATGCACTCGAGTGGAACGCTTCCGTCTGGATATCATTCCGGCCGACCAACGAACCATCCAAGCCAGCCAGCGAGCAATAATACTCACGGAGCGAGCTATTGATCATTTGACCTCCCTCCCTTCGTCCCTCTTTTACGCCATCGTTCCCGCGTTCGCGACGTGTTCTCCGTGGAGCGAGGGACGTACGGCCGAAACGTCGGTTGCGTCTGACTACGTGCCCGACCAATTCCCGCTGCATCGTCGGCCTTGGAGTGTTGACTGTATTTCCATCCATAGGTCTATTTCCCACCCTCACTCACGAGAAAGTGTCCCGACCCTCCAGGAAAAATGTCGACACGAATCGCCTTGTCCTGCTGTAGAGCTTTCGGCAGAGAATATTTCCGAGAACGCTCGACATCTGCTCCATCCTGTGGGGGGAAAAGCTTTCAACAGAAAAGCGTTTCGTCGTATGCATCGGAAGATTCGGTTTTCGACGGCCGTCGACCATTGAAGATTGCCGTGAGGGCTCCGAGAGAAATCTGAAGATTTCGGATTTCCGAACTATTGCCAAAGGAAGCGAGACGCGAGTTTTCGAATGAAATTACCGACTCCGAGCGACGGAGCGGGTGATTTTGTCGATGACGGAGCAGAAAGAGCGGAGGACCATATTTTGAAGAGATAAAGAATGCGGATAGGCGAAGATTCTCCTCGGGTCCCGGCGTAGAGCTTCACCCGAAGTCAATATAGCGCGCTCGTTCACCCGTCCGCTGAGGAATTTTCCGTTTTCCCCTCACGGGATATCCCAACGAGCAGATAGGGAAGCTTTTCCTTCCTCCGCTCTCCTCTGCGGCTGCTCAGGAGTGGATGCTTGGACTGTAATGGATCACTAGCTCGAACCTGATGCATCAGGTGGAGGTTGGTCTGCAGTGAGTTGGGCGAGCGGCCGACCTACTACGTGAATGAGCATCCTGGAAGCGTCTGGCGGAAGATGACGGAGTGTTGATGAACGGCTCGCTTGCCAGTTCACTTTCCGCACTTAGGATTGCTCCCCTCAGCTGACTCTCATCAAGTGTTGTGCTCAGAGAAGGCTCATGATGAGAATGGTAGTGGTGGTGGACGACGCTGCGATGGTAGAGCCCAGGCGGGAGCGGTTGCTTCGTCCGCAAATGATCCGTGACATTTCTCGATTTCTGTCCACCTAATTCGTTGAGTTCCTCCAGCGATTCGACGAGCAGACTGGCCCCATGCGACTGGATTGTTTAAAAAATTCACTCTGCGTCCGCGTTCGGCAACCGTGGTCGGGGAGGCATTCAGCATCTCTGAGGAAATCATGGAGGTGTGCCGAGGAGAAAATTCACTTTGGAGGAAGAAGAAAGAATGAAACGTGCAATCGCGTAGAATCGCGGACGAGTTGCGCGGACTAGACCTCCGAACGAAATAAATGCTCCACCACGGAGAACAACGGAGAGGAGCGGCAGCAGAGGGCGCGAAAGCAGTAAACTTGACAATCAGCTGTTTACAATGCGGAGCCCTCACTGAAGGGGTCCTCACTGAATGCCTTCCTCTCCATCGTCGGAGTTTTCGTACACGCTCTCGACAACACTCCGGAGTGTCACGTCGATGGGTCCATCGATGTCCAATCGGAAGGAGGGTACATCAGCAATTTAATCTGTGGAACAAACCGGAAAATGCTGTTGGAGGAGAAAACAGGTTTTGATGTCTTCGTAGGTTTAGGCATCCTACGAGATGAGGCACCGGACAGCGAGCCCGGCTGAATGTGGCGCGAGATTATTACGAGTCATAATTCCCGAGCGGGCTCCCCGGGCACGCAGAGCACATATGTTTATTACGGTAATGTTTGTCCCATTCATCCTCGGTCGAAAATCGCTGGGAGCCGGCCACGGACCAATCTAAGCGGAGCGGAGCTGTTCGCGATTCCACGATGTGTCGGCGACGTGTTTGAATCGACACTGGTCGGATCGGAGAGTCTCACTCTTTTGGGGCTATTTTTCCTTTGCCCTCCGTGATACGTCATGACGTTTGAGGAGGTGCAGACTCGAGTTCAGATTACAACGTTTTCAAAAAGCTCCATCATGACGCCAAATCGGAATTTGGAAGCCCAAGCGGCGGAGCCGGATCACAAGGGCCGAACATGTTTCGGTGCGGAAACTAACGAATTTTTTTTTTCTTTCCAGTATGCACATTGCTAGAAGAGGGGGTTGCCGCCGTCTTTGGGCCGCAATCTACCGACGCATCGTTCGCGGTGCGTTCGGCTTGCGAGACTCTAGACGTCCCACACATCGAGACTCATTGGGACTACAGATCCCGTACTACTAATCACTCCCTGAACCTGTACCCTCACCCCTCAGCTTTAGGGAAGGCCTATCTCGACTTTATTAAGTATAAGGACTGGAAAAACTTCGCCATTCTCTACGAAGAGAACGACGGTGAGTCTTACGTACATATATATATATCCATGATTAATTGGCACCACTGCGAAGTTCCTTTGTGCGGCCTCAGGAATCACGGTGCTCCCCATCTCCGGGAGACTTCCGGGGCTGCCCCCGTCCGTCGTTCCCGTGAGACCGGGGGACTTTTCGAAAAACTCGCCGAAAGCAGCTATCTCGACCGGCCGGCGGAGCTCCAGATATCTGCTCCCGACGGATCTGAAAGAACTACGTTGCGCTCGCGTGTCGAGATCCCCGGTATTAGTTTCAAACGATTGATTCCTGCTACTCGGAGCGATCCGAGGAGTAATACCCCTGCAGATTCTCTCGAGACCCTATTGTGAAGCTCTTCCCCTGTGTCTGTGTGTGTATGTACCTCGCAGATGGAGAACAATGACTGACCGAGTGGGCCGTCCTCATCATTGAGTCGAAGATAAAGAACGTCCGGAAGGAACGTTCTCGTTCTCATTGAGAAACTCCCGGAACGAATCGTAGCAGGAGCACACGAAGAAAAGACGCATCGCTCAAACACGGGCAGACTGATAGAAAAAAAACGTCTCGTGTCCTGACAAAACTTCTGACTGTTCTGATAAGATTATTCTCCGATTGCTGGAGAACAATGACTCCAGCTCGAAACGTGACGGAACAGTCGCGTTAGAACGTTTCCCGAAGAGATAGCGCTCTTCCTAGCCAGGTCCGCTCCGTCGTCGATTCGCCGCTTCTTCTCGCCCAGGCAAGGAGCCGGCCGGCGGGTCCAGGGACGAGCCGGCACTGTTCTGAGCTCTGAGCGAGTGCGTACGCTCATTCATTTATTAATCATGACGATAATATTTCAAACGAGCCTTACTGCCCACCCGATCATGTCATGAAATTCCCGACGCCCGCGTCCGCGGTCGGTGGCGGCCGCTGCTCACAATAACAAAGTCGACGTCGACGACATGTAGTTTCCAGGCTTGTTTAATATGCGCATTTAAAGCGACCTCATGGAAATCTGTGTTTGTAGACTTCCGATATTCATGGGCAGTCGACGACCCGCGGGGCGGCGGCAGTTGGCCCGCAGCTCAGGCTCCGCGCGCCGGCGATTGGCTCTGGCAGGGTTTAGGGCCTGTTGCGTGATGAGCGCCGGCTGAATCCAGAGCAGCACTCGCCGTCAACTGTCGCGGCTGCGGCTCAATGTTGCGACCCACAGCACGGATACCGACTCGCGACGACGTCGGGGCTAAAATGTCAAAAGAACCGATTCATCGTTCAATTCGTTCGAGCACTTGCCGACACAAAGGAAGGAGTCAGTGAAACGAGTTGGCAGCCGGGACTCACCTCTCGAATGAACGAGTGATATGCTTTAGACAGGTCTGTCAACTGTCATTCACGTCCTAAAGCGACAGTAACCTTGTTATCTTCCGATGGAATTCCCGTCCCGGGCGTGATACGTAAGGCGCTGTCATCGCTGATGTTTGGAGCGATTTTGATCCATTAGCGTGAAGACATCAGCGAGAACCCTTCGCATATGTTCTTATGTCTTCGACATCTATCACCTACCGTGGGGCAAATTCAATAGGTCAGCTGGAGGAGGTACGAATCTCTCCGTCCGACTGTTCCTCGAAGCGTCTTCTTCTTCGTCAGGGAAGCGTCTTCTCCTTCGTCACGGAGGCGCCCTACGAAGGTGGCGAAGCTCTAGCGCCGAGAGGAAGAATCCTACAGTGAGAGGGGGTGACACTTCTGCGCTTACCGTTACGCGCCCTAATTACCTCATCGGCGTGGAGATCTCGGCTCGAAAATCTCAATTAATTATTCATACTCGCTGGTGGTCCAGATTCCGAATGGGAGAAGATTGCGAAGGAATGATCCCTCTAGACTCTAGAGCCGACGTCGGCAAAAATCTCAGAACAATGGAGTGAGCTGTCTATTTCAAACAGTGGAGCCATAGTAAGGTGCGAGAGATGTTGAGAACCTATCGAGTTGTTCTTGAGGGAGCCTGAGCTGGTTAATGGCTATGACTTCTAGAAAGCTTCCAACTTTCGACACAGGTAGGCAAGGTTAATCCTCTCAGATTCTCGCCGGGGTCCCGGATCCCTCTGTGCTCTTCGCTGCCGACGGCACTGTTATCTTTGATGATTAATTTACACTCACTGATCTTCGAGGGAAATATGTGGATGCTCCACCGCTTAGAATCAGCCGATTCCTGACGGAGCCTTCATTGCTCCCCTCTCCAATAGCCGCTTACTGCCTGTCGGAGTCGTTGCAAAATTGCTCGAGCGTAACGCGCAAAATTCTTCCTCGATCGACGACAGTGTTGGCAGAGGCAAGAAGAAAGTGCCGGCCGGTCGCAGGCGCGATCGTAGTCTTCCCCGGATCCCTGTCTAAGAAATCTCGCGTAATGCGACTGGGCTGCTGGAAACGCTCGAAAATCGTACATTGATCACCGCTCCCGATGGCGACCAGCAACGCAGTCATACGATACTTCCGAACGCGTCCTCGTTACCAGTCACCAGACACTACAATTCATCCTGGCCCGCCATTACGGCCGATTTGAAGGGACAGCAGCGATGTCCAGTGCCGTTTCCTTCGAGTGTCCAGAATCGAGGAAATAATTTCTTCGAGCACAAGTCCCTCGTCCAGATGCTAGAATTGATACTCTGGCCATGCGACATGCCTGGCAGACATCCCACGAGCAGCGTCCCGTCGCGTGCTCCTCGGGGACGACTTGAATTTATTCGTCCCGCGGAGGAGAATGGAAAGACGATTCTGCAGACGGGCTGGATCGTCCGGCTCGTTTCTTCGGCCAGCTAGCGAGAGCGGCTTCGTTGTGAAAGCACATGTCCGAGGTCTGATTACTCACCATCAGCGAGAGATGCTCGAGTCGTTCCTCGAATTTTGTGGTTCCGCGAGGGGAGAAGCGATTGCGATGTCTAACAACCCTTGTTATACCTCTCGGTCCTCGCTCGTCGGCTCTAAAAAACGGAGCTCTCCGAGTTAGGCCTCTAGGAAACGAGTTCTCCAAACCGAGGCTGACTCCGACTCTGCGCTCGCAGCGGCAAGACCTTGCTGTGAAAAAGTCGAGCAGCCCACTGATTACAGTCAAGTCATTTAGAGACTTACGGGAGTTCGCGAAGAGCTTGCCAGAGACTCGTCTTTCTCCGTGCTCTTATTTCCGAAGCATTCATCCACATCAGGTCGGGTTCCCGGAACGGGAGTATCCTTGGCTGAGGTCCATCAAGACATTGCCGACAGCGCAACGACGAAACATCGCAGGGGAAGGGGGCAGGGGCATCTAGGGTTCGCCCGAAAGAAAGAGACGCAGTTGAGTGATCCAAAACTTGGTTGATTGAGTGAGATGATCACGCCCCGTTCCGATGTGAGCTGTATGTAAGCTAATTTCGATTCTGTCGTTGGCGCACGGTCCGGAAGGGAGGACTGCGCCGGCAGATCGGGGTATAACCGACTGGCGTACCATAATCTCGCGATGAAAAACGAATGGATAAGGAGCGACGAAAAACAAATGGATATCGACTCGGAGAGGAGCCATCGACCAATCGCCCTAATGGAGACCGCGCCCAACTTCTTCGATCGTTCCGCTCGAGGGGGAAGTTCACTCGGGTGATCTTCTTCCGTTGAGCGAAAATTTCGAAACAAGGAACGCGCTGTTCGCGCCCTCGGTCCAGTCCCTGGATATGGAGCCGCCTTGGGACTTGGGAGTCTCTCGAATACGACCAGGCACCTTCCATTCGTCGACAGGCTGGCGTGGTCGACCTTGGCATGCGGAAGACTGGATGCCTCGAGCAGGTGGTCGCTGTGCAATGACCGAGGCTCCTGCTCAGGAACTAAATGAGCACCTGGAATCAGAAGCGGCACGAGGAATCCCTTCGAACGCCAAAGGAATGCCGGCCATTGAGATTTCAATGAAGCTAGTCGGCGTTGCGGAGGCGCGCAGTCAGAGAAAGACTTTAGAGGCCACTTGGCAGGGATCCAGAATCGTTCAATAAATCGGCTTAGCTTGAAGCTAGGTGGGGGCGTTTTTAGCTCTGCGAGCTCGCGTTGCAGGAGTTTGCGTAAAAATTGATGGCGTCCCGCGCACGGAGCGACTGCAAATCGAAATCCAAAATCAAATTCCGAACGAGGGGAATCGAGTTTCGCCTCGCGAATGGCCGACTATTCCTCCGGGGAGAACGGACAAGCGACTCCGTGCCGACGACGATGACGGCGCTTTGAATGCTACTGTCAGACTGCCGTCTACAACTCGGGAACCCGAAAAATTTCAGAGGAGCTGGACTTCCTAAAAGATTAGCTGAGAAGCAACCGATGGGGAATCGGCCACCCGTGCGCGTACGCGCTCGTGGATCCTGACACATTCCTTGGGAGAGAGCCATCGGTCCATTTCACTGGGAGGAACTCACAACGCAGAAACTGCTCTCGTCATTTCCGTCTTGATTAGCAAAAAGGAGGAGGAGCGCGTGTCTGCGGTTTCCAGAGAGCATCCGCGACGCTGTGAGGCACTGAGGCACGGAGGCTAGCTGTTACGTGGAATGGAAGCCACACGAGACTTTTCTGTTTACGGAGAGTTGTCGTCGTGTATAAGAAACTTTTCTGATCTCGAGCTCTTGATTACGTGCTCGATCGGCCGCGAAAATGTATATTCAGTGTCTTTCTCTCGCTTTCGTTGGTTCTCGACTCCATCAATACCTATTACTAAACAAAGAGAGGAGCACGGACTTAGAGTTCGCGGATCGGCTGAAATCCTCTGCCGCAGCCCTTTCCGGTCGTGAGCGCTCATATAACTCCTAATGATGGTAATTGTCAGCGAGCACGGCTATCGGAGCTGTTGGCCGCTCCTTACCTAGCACATTTCGTGGACGCTGTGTCGTCCGTGCAAATTGAGACGGCTCCTTGAAATTTGAACCGGAAGCTCTCCGCTGGGCACACGGTCACCTGGCGACCCCATTCGCGACCGCATGATCTTGCAATTTAACTCACAAAGTTGCCAAGATCGATGGAGCGGAGCGCGGAGCGAGTGGATGTGGCCCGTCGCAGATGTATACACTTTCTGCTGCGTTGGGACCCAATAACATTTTCGTCATCGTCGTTCAACATCGCGCGCATACCGACGGGACGTCTCGAATCTGACTGCTGCCTCCCTCGAGTTCGGTACGCGTGCGGATCCGAAAGAACCTGGCGTGCAAATATTTCACATATTGCGTATTCGAATGAGGTTCCACATTCGCCGGTAACTTCCTCCTACGCTCTGAGGGTGCAGCGAGCAGACGTCCCGACCGTCCTCGATGTCGAAATTATCGGGGCTGTCGTCAATAACTCTCATTTCACTGAAAGTTTCGTCGCGCAGAGCTCCGAATTAAATTTCTTACGGAGAAGCAAAGATTCGAGTTTTCACGTCATTGGTGATGAATCGGTTGCGGCTCCGACCCGACGGCGCGGCGCTGCGACGCATATTCGTCAGAGAGAATTTTCCGACTGTCAGAGTGGGAGATTCTCCCCTTCGTCTTCGTTCCCGAGGATTCCTGAGAGCGGCTCCCATCATACGATCCACCGGGATTTTCGTTCTCTAGGAAGGATCGATATCATTGACGATTGAATTTCCTGATCGCTTCGAGTGCGATCCTGACAATTCATCCGAGAGATCCCGGGATCGTGGGCTCGCCACCCAGTGGTCTGCAATAATTATTGCTCACATTCCATTTTCTGAAAGCCCGGATAAACGTGACGAGAACAGCTCGATACGAGCTCGAAAAGTTCCAGCGGCTGGGGTGGGGGATGGGGGCGCGGGCGTACGCAGACGGGAGGAGACGCAGATGATGCGTTCGTAGCGGGATGGTGTAGGGGCGAGTCGCCATGTTGGATTTCAGACCCATGCAAAGGCCCCATCGACCCCCCCCCAGGAAAATCCTGCTTACGCCGCTGAATGGGGCCTCACCAAGAGGCCACAGGGCATTCGGCAGTGACGTTCTCCGAAATACCTACTCCTCGACGTCCCTCAACCTCGTTCGCAGACGGTGAATTCGCTGCGTCAGACCTCAGTGAAAGGAGTGACTCGAAACGTCGCGGGGAAACGACGGAAAAAGATAAGGAACTAGAGCAACAGCGTCCGGTGGAGATTCGGAGAGATGGAATAGATTGGAATATATTTCTCCGCATTCAGCTGTTGGGTCGTACGCACACGGAATGCCGGGACGGAGCGACATTTGCATCGGATTCCCATAATAGTACGACGACATCGAGTCCCTGAACGATGTCCTTTTCTCCGCTGCTCCCCTCATCGTCCGCCGCGGTTACCGCTATTGTTTTGTCGCTCATGTTACTATTGTCGGCCTCTCGGTTGTTGCTTTTCCAGCTGCAGAAAGAACCCGAGCCTCCGCTGCTTGGACATCGAAAACAACGGCAGTATTGCCCGAACGGAGGCCGGAGGGCCATTCCTTTCGAAGCGACGCGCTGCAGAAAGCCATTTTTTCGATACTGGCCCCTGAGCCGCTGCTCTTTCCCTAGAAGAGCAAATGTGCTTGGAAAGCGAGCGGTCCTCAGTAAGGAACTCCGGGGAGCGGAGAGGACGGGTGTACACACTGACCGTCATTCTTGTTCCTGATGGACCTCTCCTGCGGTGCGGCGAGTGTTTGCAGACGCCGTGCGGTAGATTGAAATCTCTGGCTGAAGGCTCACGCTGGAGGCTATCAGCTTGAAAGTTTGTGACGGGCTGGTAGTATGCTAATCTCTCATGACATCGACTTCAGACAATGCTCTGCTATAAACCAGATTCCGATGCCGAAAGCAGACAGGGACCTGGACGCTATCGACTTGAGCTCTCAATCCCTCCGCTCGAGCAAGAAGATGAGCGCACTACGCCTAGGAAGGAGTCTGGAGATGTGTCGAAACTGCAGGCGATAGCGGCCATCCATGGATAGCCGAGCTGGGTAGACCCGATTATGGGCAAGGGCACCATCGAGTCGCGAGAAAAGTTCCTTTAATCTCAACGGCAGGCTAATGATCCTCCCACAATGTGAGGGAGCCGGTGACTTCATCACTCACACGTCTCGTCGGTAAATCCACTGAGTCGCTCCGCTGCTCACGATAAGACAGTAGCTATCTTCATGGCTCGCTCGGTCGTCCTCGTCTCTCCGCTATTCCTTGTTGTTGCTCTTGTTGTTCTTCTTCTACTTCTTCCACAATTTACACCTGTATGGCTCTCAATAGCTGTGCTGATCTGCGCGTTCTTATCGGGACGGGAGAACTACACGGAAAGTTGGTTTTTGCTTATCCTCAAGCGCTGTCCTTGCCCCTATCGTGCGCAGATAGAAGTCTTAATCCTCTCGCGGTGGTGTTTTCGAGCATCCGAGCGCCTCCAGCGCTATTCCTGGAAGTCATGGGACGATCATCACAGAAATATCTCGCTATTCGCCGGCAACGCGCGAGCGTCAACATTTCATCGTACGGCTATGCATCGCGATCGCACAATTAAGGACGGAATGCGTAGGATCCATTCACATAACTTCCGTTCGGAGGAGCCTTCACGTGCAGTCGCGCTGGGACACGCTTAATTTTCTTGATGGTACCCGTGTCATTAATATTTTGTACTTGGTCTCGAATCTCTGCTCGCCAACTTGTTGACTGCGGCCTCGAATCCGAAGGAAAATCCTTGCGCCATGACAACGAGCTCCGCCCGCCTCCCCGCCTGTTCCATGTCGCCAGCAGGTGGAGGCAGCTGCCCTGAAAGAATATTCTGTGGTCGCGGCGTGTCTGACTACGCAGCGACGAGACCGAGTTCATCAGTTCCAGATGCGCAGCGCATGCCGAAGGAAGTGTTCAATCTTCAGAATGTGCCTGCGGCCGATGGCTGAGTTTTGTACCGAGCTTCCTCACGTGTTAGCTCCTCTTCCTCTGTTCTAGCTCACTGCACGGCTCTGCCGATTTTCATACGGAGCCTAGCCAGACTCACAATACTAAGATGGTGCGTGACGGAGAAAAAGTGCACGGACAGCTCCCAAAACCTCGGAGGGTCCGCAACTGTATACAGACGTCTCCCTGGAAACTTTGCTCGCTTTTCGTTCCGATCACCGATTACCTATAGAGCGCAGGAAATCAACCACGCACACAGAAGCGACGGCAGAGCGGAGGACGAAACTTTTCTGATTTCTCAGAAGGGAGCAAAGGAACTATCGGTTCCCCGAGATCGAAATTCACTTGAACGGTGACCGAGTCCAACGGCCGCTGCGGATATTACGAATGGGAACTATCTTAAAACGAAGCAGCATGTTGGCCAGAGTACCTTCCGTTTCATTTGAGGCTAAATGGAGCCAGTCGAGCGAGAAGGTGCTTGGGCAAAGGTCTGACATAGACACTCGATCGGACACAGCCGGCGGGTGGTACATAGCATACGATGCTCGAAAGACCCTTAGGAAATACATCGCCGAAGATGGTTCCGCGTAATAGAGCCCGACCGAAACGGAACCTAGGAACAGCTGCTAAAATGATAGGGTCATAGAATATGCGTTCGCTAACCTTTATCATCCTTTGTGCGATATCATTCCGCGCACGCTGCTCCCGATAAGCGGGAATGCGCTGAGGGGATCGGTCTGACCCTGCCAGGGGAGCTGGGGAGGGACTTCCAGAGAACCCGAGGGCTAGTGTTTCTCGGAAAACGGAAAGACCTTATAGATCGAGCTGTGCGTGTGTTCGTGAGCAATCATCCAGGAGAGTGTTCGGCTCTCGGTCGGTCAAAGGCAAGTCGTTTTCCGACAAAGGGAAAAGTGAGTTGCGGGGAAAAAGTGAATTCGATGAGGATCGTGCGTGTTGGGCTCCCCGAATGCGTCTAACGGACAGAGGGCGGAAATACAGAGGCTAGTTTCTGGAGACCATTGGCGAAGCTAGATCTGAAAAGAAGGTAAACTGTGTCATGTCGAAACTTCCCGTGAGAGAAATTATCGACGCATGCCAGAGATCAAGGGATAGGTTCAGTGAATTCTGAACGAGGTCTCGTCGTAACACAGCGCAGGTCGACTATTTCAACTATTTCCTGTTGACTCGGCTTGGATCTCTGACGATGGAAGTGAATTGGAAGGAAACTTGATGAAGTTTTTGGAATGAGCATTTGATGTGCATAGCATCTCGAGCGGAAGCGATCTTCCGTATTGTAATGGTTTTCGTGTGGACACGCATTCTTCCCGAATCCCGGACGATAAATGTAAACCTCGATGAGCTCTGACCTCTGCCGGACTGAACCCACTCCGACCGCAGCCATCGGCACTCGGGGAGGCCAGACATGGGGGTTTTCTAGGGAACTCCCCGGACATACGAACGGTAAATGCCGGGAGAAGACACGCATTTTGAAATAAAAATAAAGCGGAGGAATTCCATTTCCCCGCGGCCAAATTCGACGATTCATTCAAGCTAGTGCTCCTGGTCACGCGATGCGTCCCGTGCGGACGCGAATCCGAGTAAACTCAGCGGATCCGTTGCGAGCGCAATTTAGTCTGATGGAAGCATGATTTCATTTCAGCACTAGTGCGTTTGCAAGAGATACTGAAGGACGCTACACTGATGAAGGAGAACCGAGTGACGGTGCGTCAATTCGAACCCGGAACCGAATACCGAAAAACCCTAAAAGATATCGGCAAGACTGGAATCAAGAATATTGTGCTCGATGTACCGATAAAGAGTCTCTACACGGTGAGTGGAGTCCCGGGTCCTTCTTATTCAAATAAGTACCAGAATACTAGCACATGATTCCGTTATTGCTACAGGAATGGGTTTTTATCGCGTTCGGCACAATAGGTCATGCTCGAATGAATTCCTCGATCCACAGGTGCTTAAGCATGCGCAGCAAGTGGACATGATGTCCGAATACCATAACTACTTCATCACTTCGCTGGACGCGCACACCATAGATACAGAGGACTTCCAATATGGCGGGACGAATATATCGGCTTTTCGTTTGATCGACTTCTCATCGAAAGAAATCGATGAAGTCGCTCGCGATTGGATCCAACGTCGGCATAGGTTCTCTAGTAAGAAGTCTTCATCGGTACAGAGTTTCAACACCGGTGACCAAGATTTCTACAAGGTGAGTAACTTCCAGTGATTGAATAGTTTAAGAATTGTCCCTCAGTCGAGTTCGCACCGAATGAGGCGAGCTCGACGAGTCTGATACCCCGGTGCCGAAACGATGATTCGGAGGGAAACGAGACCCTCAAAAAATGGGATAGTATCCTAAATGAACGTCCCAATCGATGAGATGGAGAAGATCATTTGGCTCGAGCTCGGGCGTTTTCCTCTATCTTGAAACCGACTTTGTGCCTCGTATGTTCATTGATATCGTTCTTCTATCAATCTAATAGGAGCACTTTCATCTGATCCGTTCCACGAGTATAAATTATTTATTCCTATTTCCCTAATTTTTCTTTTAATGAGCGTGACGCTCACTATGCAGTTAGCTGGCTCATTCGAGGATGGGTCGAGGAGCTACATCAATGCTAATTACGATTCCACGAAGACGTAGTGGTCGAGGGAATGAATTCAATCGAACAGCTCATGTCCTGAGCGAAGCGGGGGAAGGGGACTCGAGCGGTACCATTACATTCAATCAGGCGGTTTATTGGGAGAGATGGATCAGTGCCGTCCAGTCCGCCACTTGTTGTAACAGTCGGACGATTTCGATCTTTCCAATCTCTTGGGAGCGGAAACTCGAGGTCAAGAGGAAAATTTTCCCGGTTGACCTGGAGGAAAAGTTCCAGCCGAGTGAAAAGTCGGAAAAACAACTCGTGGCTTTGGCCTTTGCGTCGCCCCTCGTTTCGTCGGGACGGTGGTCGCTCCATCCATCCATCCATCTGTCGACGCTTCGGCTTGTCACTCTTTCCTTCGCTGGGTCTCTCACTCACCGCAGTTCCTTGTTCCTTCCCGTTCCTCCGCATCCCGACGGAGGGTTCACAGATCAGCTAGCTAGCAAGCCATACAGCCCGCCGAGCGAGCGAGCGACCGAGCGTCCGAACAAGCAACTCGTCGCTCGGTCGGTTCGTGCTTTCTTTTGGACCGCCGCCGCAAAGAAGGAGGCTTAGAAGTTCTCCTAGGAGGCTCCTCATCTACGCAATTTCACCGTCGAACTTTATACGTGAAGGCGGGACCCAGGCGCAAAAGATACTCTCAAGAGGTCTGAAACTGTTGGAACCTCATTCGGAGCCTCCAGAGCGTGGAAGAGGAAGAACTACTGCGAAAACAGTCCACAACCGGTTTAGGAACAGCTCAGATTGGCCGATTCCGCCTCTACTCGTTCCCTCCGGTATTCTCCTGCTCTGTTCCGGAACGTTGCCATCACGGCCCGACACACGCCTCGTCCACAGGTGCACTGATCTACAATCTGGATCTCCGCAGCTGTTTCGCCGCAATGCCGGAGGAGATTCAAAAGCTCCGTCGCGCTATTAAATAACGCTTCGTCTCGAGCTCGGTACCCGCCGCTGGCCAAATATTCACGGGTCGGCAAGAAATTATTCCGACTACCTAGTAAAAAGCTACTCGAGAACAAGCAACCTAGCTCCGAAATAAAATGCAGCCTCCGGGAAAAAGAACAGCGAAGGAGATCATCGAGCAGCTAACAATGGCTGAGGCGCGACGAGGCAATCAATTGACGGAAGGCTTTTCCCCGCAAGGAGTAGATCGGCTCAGGAAAACATCAGCAAGTGAACTCACTTGTAGGAATGTGTCGATTCCCTCTCTGTTGCGTTCGACTTTTCGACTCCGCAAACTGGTTGAGCAGATTCTTCCTTCTTTCCCTCTTCTGTTCCGATTGCGAACGTTTTGTTCTTTTGTTCGCCAGCGACGCTGGCAGTCGTCAGGTCACATCCGACAATTCAGATTTCCCCAGAGGATCTTCTCGCGGTCCACTTATACCGTGGGTTATTGATGCTCCCTGGGGTAACTTCTGAAATATGGCGAAATTCTGCGGTCGCCCCCTCACACCGCGGGCTGACCTTCCATCTAGGGAGACTGGGACCCAGGCTTCCGAGTCCGAGCTCTTTCACTGGCGGAAGATCAAACGCCAAAGAACTGAAGTTCCAGAGGGAACTTCCGGATCGTCGTGCATTCGAACGTCGAGCTTTCGATGACATAGAGCCACGGCTCGCTCCTGTCGATAGAAACGGGGAGTCGTCTTTGTGGAGATTCATCTTCTCGGTCACTCGCTCGAGTTTTATGCTGGTGAAAAGAAACTTGGTCCCACGATCGCGGGACTCTTCCCGATGTGCTCGTACAGCGACGGCTAGATAAACAAAACAGTCTGAACGGGATAAAGAGGCACAAATCTCTTACTTAAACAAACTGAGCGCCGTGGAGACCCACGATCGAGAGACTGGTCGCGCTGAAGCTTATCTCGCTGTAGCGATCTTGTTGAATCGAATACAAACAAACCGGAACGGAAATTTTCCTCACAGCAAGAATAAAACTAATGGTATCTTGTTTCTTCCCCCATGCCTTCCGTGCACACCCAACAGAATCTAACGGTGAGTTCCATACTTTTCTGCCCATCTCTTTGAATTTTCAGCGTACTGACGAGAGATTGCTCCTGCTGGTGCTTTCGAACATCCTGCAAAAGTTCGTTCATCCGGGAACCCTCCGTCGTCGTCGACTGCGACCCCCCTGGGGAAAATACGACGGCCTTTGATATTCGGCTCAGGCAAAGAAATCATTTCTGTGCCGAGACGACTAGATTAGATATCGCAACCGCTCCGCGTGTGAGTCGGGGGCATTTCAACCGAGCGAGTCGCTGTGGTGCGAAAAAGTTCACCAGCGGTCGAAACCGATCCCGAATAAGTTGTCTGCCGAGTCCGCGAGCCGATTAGGGTTTCAGCGATGGTAATTGATCGTATAAAGGAACGGCAGTCGCAACGAACGAACTTGCACTCTGAAACATTCCCGTTCCGCGAAACCATTTCCTGCGTCTTCATCACTGAGAGAGCGATCAACGCAGCGACGGGGCTCTCATGTAGCTCCGAGCCGCGCCATTGTGACGCTGTAAAATGTCTTGCCACAGCCGCTGATCGAAACGGGCGAGGCTCTGGTCGCGGGAGGATGGAGGAGGGATGGATTCCCTTGCGACGGACGGAGTCCCATTGCAGATTCCGCGGGCCGCTCACATCGCGAATTCCAACTGTCCATGTTGTAGTTTCGTTGTATCGGCTCGCTATGCCCTACAATGTGCGTACGAATCCGGGAGGTCTCGCCTTGTTTTAATTCACGGGTCGCGTTTTTATTCGCCCGATATTCGCCCGACGGATTCCCCTCCGGGAATTCCATCGGGCGAATATCAATCGGAAGAGGAGGAGAATTCTTCGGATGCTTCGTTCCAGGCCTTGTCAGAGAGGGAGCTCGCGAAACACTATACACGTTCGATTCGTTGCCTGTGGGATATCCGATGGAGATCCGTTCCACGGGTTCCTCGACAAATCGTCGGGTTGACAAATATTCGCTCAGCGCTCCGTCGGGCTCTCGCCTTCCCCGATTCCTCCGTGGAAGGGATCTTAACCGGCCGGAGCGGGCACGAAATCTTGCCGCCCCGTTGCCTTAAAAATGTGGAATTTTAACACGTTCTAAACTTTATCCCCTATGGGGTTTCAGACCACTGGGTTCTTTGCGTCTCCCTCGCATGAATCTCTTTATTCCGTCCCTGTCTGGTAGACACAACCCACCGTTAGTTCCATTCTCGCAGAAGAGAAAAACGGAATCTTCGAAGAGATAAGGCACGGATTTCTGATATGTTTGCGCAGGAGATTCACGGCGGCAGAAATATTCGCGGTGTTTGCTTTGTTTTTCCTCATCCTTCCTCCCAGCGAATCTTCCGTTGTACGCAATCATGAAGGAAACTCTGCGAGCCGTACTTTCTCAACGTGAACTCGGCGGCGCCAGGCTCTACGAATCCACGAAAACAATAAGCAAATCCCGCGCTCGTTTCTCTTCCGAAGCTTATTTCTGAGTCAGTTGAGGAGGGAATCAACATAAATTCCCAGCCGACTGAGAAGGGAACCAAGAGCACACTTTCCTCGCTCGGGTGCAACGCCTGCGATGCCGAAGAGCGAGGAAATCGATGCGCATGGCAAAGTCTGCGCTTGTTGCTCCCTCGGAATATGCCTGGTCTTTCTGGTGGAACCCTTTCGCAAATGAAGCAAACTTCGAGACGGTGCTACCCGCATCCAAATGATTCCTCCCGGTTGCGTTGGTCAGCCAGAGAATACGCTCTCCTGACTCGAGCGGCTTACATTGGATCGGAGGCGCTCCAACTTCTCGCTCCCGATCGAGGAATTTCAATTCAGTGCTCAGAACTCGCGAGTTAGTGTTGCTCAAAAGGAGAGGACCGATTCAGCTCAAGCTGTGACCCAGACACCGGTAGAAGTCACAGACAAGGGCTTCCGTAGACGGCGACAATTATCCGACCGAAACCGATTCGTCCTCTGGTCTCTATTCACTCTGCTACCGGAAGCTCCCGGGACGTATTGAGGAGGGAAACCATCATCGCCGATGTAAGAGCTTCCGTGATCGGAGATAGGCGACAGGAGAGGAAGCGGGCCTCGAGGAGCTTCTTCCCCAAGTAGATCCACCTTCTCCCGCGGGTAATAATCGACTGTACCCGAGCGACAGCTACAGAGAGCTCATTGAAAGACGATCAATATTTTTTTCCGATCGGGGAATCAGTGAATCCCTCAGAAGCAACCCTCGTCGCTTGTGATGTCGGAGCTCTCCTCACCCTCGGGATACCGGGAAAAGTTATTTCCGATAGACTCTCCAGCTTGAAGCTCCGGAGCCTCGGGAATGTCATTATTCGATCGGTCAACCACCCATGAGGGAAGACTACGTGCGATTAGCCACCCAAGGAGCATTCTGTTCGACTGCTCTACCGGATGACGGAGCCCTTCCAAGAATGTGCCCTTGGTCATGTAATTTCCCCGCAATTACGACAGCGGCCCCCTTCTTGCCGCGGTTCCATTTGTTTAGATTGCCCGCGCTTGCGAGAGGAGCCATAAGGTGAGGGGCTCGCCTTCGAGCATGACGTCCGCCTCCATAATCTGACATTTTCCTTGGCAACCGAGGCAACGTCGACAATTAGGGCGATCTCGAGCAGAGAACCCTGAAATTCGGAACTCTCCCCGTACTCTGCTCTAGATCGCTCGACCTCAAAGCGGATGCGTCGACTTTAGATTTGTGCTCGAAATAGGCTCCCGAGCGGGGCTCGCGAGTAATCCTTTCGGGGATCGGCCACGCCAAGCTGTGGCGCTTCCGAATCTACGAGATTACGAACAACAAGCGCGTGCGTCAGATTCGTGATATCCTGGTGGCTCGATCGAAAGGCTCAAAAGGGGAGGGGATCTGTTTGGGCAAAGGAGGGAGAGTCCCGATGTGAGCTCCAAATATTCGAACATCTTTCCCGTCGGGCTCATGACCTGGGGCATTAGGGAAGACGCGCTTCTGAGACCTGAGCGAATGCTTCAAGGCCTTCAATGAGCAAAATCGACTCCGATTAGAGAAGAATCTCCTCAGTCAGATAGCTCGACGCCATGGTGAAGGAAGACGCGGAAGTTGCAGGAAAAGTCGCCAGAAATGTATCGGGACATTCAGCAGGGAACCGGGAAGAGGCTTCGGGTACCGGGAAAAGACAAGGCAGAGAAGACAATCTTGGACTCTTCGTAGGAGATTCCGTGTGATGAATCCGCTTCGTCGTGGAACAAGAAAGGGAAAATATGTTCAACTTTCGCGAGAATGGCCTTGTTCCGTATCTCAGCTTGATCAAAAAATCTGTCGCGGTCGACGACGCGACGTCGGAACAAGGCTCCTCATTCGATCGAACCCGCCGGCGACTTCTTTCTCGGAAAAATCTCGAGCCTTGACAAATTCGAAGGCAAGCGATCGGAGGACAATTCTGTCGTTTCGACGTCGCCCTCGGAGACTACACGCTCCACCAAGTCTCCTTCCGGGCGGTTGACATCTTGATGACAAGCTGTCGTGCTAGAGTGGAGCGAGGAAATCTTGAACGAGACCGATCCCGTCGTCAGCCCCAATGCTTTCGCTCGACGATGTCAATTAGATACACGGCTTCTGCATGGAAGAAAAAAACGCGTCAAATCCGGAGAAAGGACCCTATCTGAACGCGAGCATGTCTGCATGAGCTTTTCTCTTTCTAAGCGCGCGGAACATCTCTTTCGATACGATCATTTTTTTCACGGATGAGCGCAAGGCAAATCCATTCTTCGCGAAATAATTCATGTTCACGAATTATCCAGAGCTTACGGGTACATTTCCTTTGCAGACCAAAGTAGCACTGATGTACGATGCTGTGAGGCTGTTCGCCACTGCCCTGAAGGACCTGCACCCCGACACCGGCCCCAAGATTACGGTTCAACCACTGTCGTGTGAAAGGGAGCACAAATGGTCGCAGGGAAACGCATTCGTCAAATACATGCGGATGGTGAGTAAAGTCTCTGAGAAGATTATTCGATCGGCTCCGGCGTTCTCAGGATGAGCTTCATCAATATCCTCCGATGCCTGATTGACTCGAATACTCGAATCGGATTACTCGGGTGTTCATCCTTCCACGGATCCAATCCCCGTACCTTTTGTTGAAACTCCATCCCGAATGCGAGTTCTATGTTGGGCTCTGTGCGGAGAGGCCCCCGACGACGGCAACACTTCTTGCATCGCCGTATCCCATCAGGCGTGAGTGGGTGTGCAGCGCGCCAGAGGAGATGAGAGACCGACAGCGGGGGAACAGAGATTTGTAATTAGTAAAAATCGGAAAGCTTTAGTGGTTCTGGGGAAGCGTGCAGAGCACGTCTGACCGCCACGCCTTCATTGGAAAAGCCTCGCAACTAGTAAGCCTCTAGAAAACATCGGTCCTTCGGCCAAGTGAAGCTTGACGGAAAACTCGCCTCGCGTGTTTGAAGGCCGCGACGGAAAACACTTCGAGATTCAGTCCGGCAGAATATCCATCAGCACAAACATCATCGGGCTCCGTTCTCTTCGCTGCTCTTATCCTAATCGCGCGGGAGACGGCCGAGGCAGCCGGTCTCCAATGTCATCTCCATCTTCTAGTGAGGTCTTGACGAGGTGACAGATCAGTGCGCCGGATAAATGTTGCGTGAGGTGCTTCTGTGGCAGTGGCTAATGCTTTTTGCCGCTGATGACATCCCATCTCTATGTCGGGGTCGACGACGCGTCGTCGTCGAGCTCCACATGGATTCCCCGGTCCCACTCGGACAACGCAATTAATAAGATTTCCCCCAGTGACAATAAAGTCTCCTCGCTAAAGACCGTCCCGGCCGTGCGGTGGGACAACTCTCCATTTGTATGAATGGATGGATGACGGCGCGATAAATCAGCGGCTTCTGTCCATTGGTTATGCCCAACGTCCGTCTACTCATGTTTCCGTCTGGGGGAACCCGCTCGATCTTCAGTCGCAGATGGCTCGTGCCGGAACCTCACTCAAAGAGTCTTACCGGAGAAACCGCGGCGGTACACGACGGCGTCGTCCACTTGGATTCCTTCGGGGGCTCGCTCCGAGTCTCAGCCAGAGACTGACAGCTCGAACTTGGATGCGCTCGTTCCGCTTCAGCCTGAGCGGAGGATTCAAAATTTTCGAACATTCGACAGCCGGCACGTTCGGAAAGTTTCGATTTTCCGCGGTGCTTCTCAGAGGATCACCTGCATGGAACAGAACTTCTCGATTCTCGTTTCTTCCCAGGCTCGGAGTCTTGCGTCGGCGCTGCATTAATTCATCACGATTGCAGACATGTAGGGAGGATTTCGCGCCGAGCTCCCAATAATGATTTCACTCAACGCGGAGCGGACAGGAAACTCGCCGTGCTTTCGACGGAACCGAGGTCTAAATGCGTAGGGAACAAATGCTCGAGTGCTCCTGAAAGTGTTCCCTGAGCGCTTTGCGAGCTCTCCGCATAACTTGGAAACTTGAAGCAAGCAGTTCATCTTCATAAGGACTCAGCTCGCAGACTCCCGTGCGCCAGGAAGCCTTATAATGAGATCGCTATCATTATTTAAAATTAAGTCGTCCCACGCTTGAGCGAGGCAGTAATTTTTGAGCGGAGAACACGGGTACTGCGAGGTCTCACTCACAGAGCTGAGCACCTCCGATTTGATTATGCTCTTAGGAAGCCAATTAGAACGCCATTAGAGTTGCACAGCCTTCCGCTACGCCATTACCTAGCTCCTCTACTCTCGCGAGCGTGTTTACATCCCCGTCTGGGATAGCGGAACCGCAGGGAAAAACCTCGCGTCGGGACTTTGCGGTGGAACGAATTGCGTCGGGCTCCGACCATACTGGTGCCATACTCGCAAGCTTTTCGCAGAAGGCGGACGTGATTCATCTCAATCAAGGGGAAAATCCTGAGACTCTCCCTGATTGTGGCGGATCATCTCATTGATTTGAATCGATTCAATCTTCGTTTCCAGATCAACATCAAGGGCCTGACAGGCAACATCCGTTTCAACAAAGACGGCCATCGTACTGACATGCGACTCACAGTACTGGATATGGCCCATTCCGGCTGGCGAGAGGCCGGAGAATGGACGATGCTCGGTGGCATCAACATCACTACAAACTACACCAGAGAGCTTGAAGAGGCAAGATTGTCTCTCCTCAACAAGACCTTGGTTGTCACGACAATACTGGTAAGTTGAGTTTGGCAGGCTAATTCAGTCTTATTGGCGCATACCTTGCATGCTTTCGTGCGAAGTGTCGGCCTAATCGCCTTCGGAAGCTTGTATCAACAAACAATCACCGGCGGCTGACCTACGGGAAGGACAAACGGATGAGAGAACTCTTGTCACGCTGGTCCCTAGTGACACGTCTGGGCTCTCGGATCCACTGTCGGGACTGTCTGTTCCACTATGTTTTTGCCTCCTCGAGTTTCACCAATGGCCACGCAGCCAGACCGAAGGGATGAACAGGACGAATGACTGCGGGCAGTGAACGGCCTATCTAGCGCCTGTACAAGTGATACGGCTGTCGCGCAATAGGCCCTTGTAAGCGATGCTACTTTCGTCATCGTTGATTTCCTCACCGTCTCCGTTGAAGCTTGTAGCTGTCGTCTCCCTTGGCACGCTAGCCAACAAACATCTCGTCCGATCCGTTGCACTCGGCGTCCGAATGTTCTCGGGAGAACATCGATCGAGTGAAACAGCGGTTCCTGGCACCGGTGGCGAGGGACAGATATAGAGGAGCGAGATCGAGAATTCTGTCGCAGGCGAGCTCTCTATCAGAAGATGTTCGCGTCTTCCCGGAGCAGCAATATGCGAGGGGAAAATTTCGGTACAAGCGAATGACTCCCAAACTATTTCGGTCGGCTGCCAAATATGTCACGAACAGAATATTCTCCTGTCTCTGAAGTTTCGGTATCTCCCAGCCAATGCTCTTGTCGGCACTTTATTTTTTCCTGATCATCTGTTGACTTGTGCAAGCCGCCGAACGCCAAAGCTCATGGAGCTCTGACAACGCTGCGCGGAGCATCGGGTGTCAGGAGTCGGGGTCGCAAAAAGAATGAAAACGACTTCCTGCAAGCTGCTCCTCCCTTCCGTGCACCGTCCGTCGACGGGTAGACATCCGATCGGTAGCGGAGGCGAAGTACTGCTATGGGTTCCCCGGCGGAAATTCGTCACCAACGCTGAGGGATCTCACGGGCAGAAGGCCATTTGGGACGGGAAATTCTCCTTATTCCTTTCAGCTGTCTGATCGGAGGACGTGGGTGGCGTGTAACGGACTGATCACGTTATTCTACGGAAATCACTTACTTTTTCTGTTCATTCGATCCAGATTGCGGCTACATGAGATTTCGTCTATTTCAGCAACCGCCTTACGTAATGTATAAAGAAAAGTGGAGGGAGCTCGGGCTCACGGGGAACGACAAATACGAAGGCTACTGTATAGATTTGCTCGACTCCATTGCTTCCTCGGAACACTTCATCAACAACATGAAGTATGTTATCCGCGAAGTTGCAGACCACAGCTACGGCGGGAGAGATGCCGATGGCCGATGGAATGGCATGATCGGCGAGCTACTTAATGGAGTGAGTTGCCCTCTGATGATGAATTTTGCCAGAATAATAGGGGCGTATCGAATACTCCCTCTCCGGATGTCTCGGAAGCCGGGAAGTCTCATCGTCAGGCGATCAGATCAAGTTCGACTTGTCTTTCAGAAAGCGGACTTGGCAGTGGCAGATCTGACTATAACGTATGTCCGTGAAGAGGCCGTGGATTTCACGATGCCCTTCATGACTTTGGGGATTTCGATCCTCTATAAGAAAACTGCGAAACCCCCGCCCGGACTCTTTTCATTCCTGGATCCGCTTTCGCTCGAGGTGTGTGAAGCATGCCAGATGATCGTCAGATGCTGATAGATAAACTTCCCTAAATTTTCAACCGAAGTATCGAGCAGTTACGGTCGTTGGGGAGATCGGTCGCTCGAATCCCGGAATCACGCATATGCTTGTCGCCAGGTCTGGATCTACATGATGACAGCATTTCTCGGAGTATCTTTATTCCTGTTCGTGCTTGCGAGATTCTCGCCATATGAATGGGTAAATCCACATCCTTGTGAAGGAAACCCTGAGGAACTGGACAATCAATTTACAATATGGAATACGCTCTGGTTCACTATCGGATGCCTCATGCAACAGGGCTGCGATGTAACACCTCGGTGAGTGCACCTTTTCAGACTTCACGATCATGAAACGTTTCCGACAATCACTTCCTAGAAGATCGGCACATATATCTAATAATTACCCGATCCTGTGAACAGAGCTCTTTCGACTCGGGTGGCAGCCGGCATGTGGTGGTTTTTCACTTTGATCATGGTCTCTTCCTACACCGCCAACTTGGCTGCGTTCCTCACTGTGGAACGTCTTGTATCTCCCATTGAAAGCGTTGAAGATCTGGCGAAACAGACAACCATTCAGTATGGATGTCTTAGGTCTGGCTCCACACAATCCTTCTTCAAAGTGAGTACGACACAACTTTTGCATATGTCGCACATATGGAAATAGGCCGGGATCCCATTCCGTTCACGGAGCTACTCTCATGCGAGAGCGGCGATTTCCAAAAGAAGGTTCTCTTCCATGGAGTGAGCCTCTTTCTCCTGATTCCAGGATTCACAATTCCCAACATACGCTAAAATGTGGCATGTAATGCAATCTCAGCGACCTACAGTATTTGCTGAGTCAAACCAGAAGGGCATCGATCGCGTCTTAAGGGGAAAGTATGCTTACCTGATGGAATCCACTTCGATCGAGTATAATATTGAAAGAAACTGCGACCTCACGCAGATCGGCTCTCTGCTCGACAATAAGGTGAGAATTCGCGAAAATTCTATTCCCTCAAGGCTCAGGCAAAAACTTATGAGAACGTCGTACAAGTGATCGGACCTCTCTCGGTGCACCTGGAGTGGTTCGCGATGCGTTGGAGCTCGGTACCATTCCCCCAGAGAAATTCCTTCCCGACTAATTACAAAAACTAATCTCCTGAAACCCGTAGGGCTACGGCATCGCTACTCCTCCGGGGTCCCCCTACAGGACCATGTTATCACAAGCCATCCTTCGGCTACAAGAAAATGGTGACCTCCATGTGCTCAAGGTATGTTTACGAAGCCTGTACCTCGGGCATCAGACGCAAAGACTAACTCTTTTTTCCAGCAGGCCATCGAAGTATGGAGCTTTGAAAAAGTGCTCCATACGTTCCACGCGACATCCCAGGGGTGCATGCTGCATGTTTGGGTGTCTGTGCCGGCTTTACGCATGTCTTTTCGCAAAATCCACGCGAGCAGGATCTGCAGGTGAGTGGGGCATGATCAAAAAGTTTGAGGAACGACAGGACACGTTCCTCACTGATATATTTTTACAGGAGCGGTGGTGGAAAAAGCAGCGAATCACTAAAAAGTGTCCGAAAGATATTATCAACAAGGGGACCTCTGCCATGACCGTGGCGTCCGTCGGGGGTGTGTTCATTGTGCTACTCGTGGGTTCATGCGTCGCTGTCATCTCTGCAATCATCGAGTTCATTTGGCGGGCTAAAAAGATCGTTCCCGAGGAGCGGGACCCGCTATGCGTCGAACTCTGCAGAGAACTTAAGGTGAATTGGTGCTCGCATCGCTGCTCGAACCAATGATTTGAGGATATCGATAGAATGCCTGAAACGGATAGAATCGAGTTCTGACCGAAAAAGAAACTTCTTTCGCAGTTCACATTGACTTGTGGCAGCAAAAAACCGCTGGCACGCCCCCGTTCGGATGAAAACCTCGCCATCGCCGCAACAGATAATGGCATGCCGTTCATGCCAATTACGGGGTTTGGGCTCCACAACAAGAACACCTTTTCCTGACATCACGACGAGAACAACGTCGTGCAAATAGGTCTCAAGGCCAATCCGAACAGTCTGAGCCTCAACAAGGGCCTGAACGTCATCCAGCAGGCGACGTCGATCAGCAGCTTGAAGGGCCAATCGCAGCAGCAACAACAGCAACTGCAGCAAGATGTACCTCTGTCTGATCCCGATGCGCTTGTCAACGATGACTTGGCCACACAGTTGAGTCCAGATAACTACGGGCCGTATTATCGTTACGAGGCCAGGTATGAGCCGACGTTCGAGTAAGAACGAGAACCATGCGTATGTATTTTGAGCTCGTAGAAGGGGACGGGAGTCCATCGGAAATTCCCTGATTTTGGAGTAATGTTCGATTCCAGATGCCCCTTAATGACGCCCGTCCTCAGCTCGGCAATATCGAAATCTAACCTATGATTATTTATGCTTTCCAGGATTGCTCAGGAGGACCCCATTGACGTATAACCTCTTGATGGTGTTAAATATTTCGGCGATGTTTTCATGTCGAGCAAAGACTTGCTTTCTGAGTCCGAGGATCGGCAGTGAGCGTTGGCAAAGCCTAGAGGCACAGTCACGCTTTCAGCACTTGTTCGACTTTGACGAGAGAGAGGCGGATGGCTTGTTCGGATTGCCCGCCTGACCATGCGAGGTCAGACGTCGTCCGGACAGCTGATCTCCGTAGTCCTCAACCGCAAGTCTGCAAACCTCTCTCTCTCACTCCGTTACTAAACTGACGAAAGTCAGTCGACCTCGGAGCCTGCGGTGCGCATCCGCTTCGAGGCTCACACACAACTGCGTCGATACTCTCACTCAACTTCATCAAACGACTGCTCGCAGATGAAATCCAGACTGAAGAGTTCCCATCGCGCTGCTCTCTGTGCTGCTGAGAAATTTAGTCAACAAAACGAGAATTCTCCAACGAACTCCGAAAACTCGAATTGAATGATTGAAAGCTACAAACGACGACCGTTCGCAACAACCGGCGACATAGGGACTCTCCCAATATTGACCCCATTCCTTGAAATTCCCTCTTTTTCACTTCCGCTGATGATTGATTACGAGAATTAGAGATGACGCGGATCGTTCCGGAAGGAATGTTCCTTAAGTGCTATGTTTTATGAAGCGAACATGCGAACACACTTGACAACTGCGATCACCAACACCAACACACCCTGGAAGAGAGAAAACACATACGAACCAACAACGGCAACAAGGTGTTTACTAACGAACCCACTCTACCATCAGCTCCAGGAGGAGAGCTATCAAACGATTTACTTCCATCTTCGAGAAGTTCGCGCTTGTCTCAAGTGAAAACTAAATTCCTCTTTCGCTGCTCCACCTGACGTACATTAAGAAGCGATTCCCGTAGCGAGCACGACGAGACATTCGAAGACGTGGTACCATCTCGTTGGCATCCCACAAAGTAAAGCGAAACAATACACGAGATCAATAAGATATCCAAAGTACAACCCTTTGAGGTTTAGCCCTCGACCAACAAGAACGGTTCTTAAAACCGAAACTACACATTGCATACGAAACGATCGAAACTCTCTAAGAAACTAAGATCTGAAAGCAACATGGACGTCAACAAGAACAAAGAGACCCTGTGATCTAGTCCCCAAACAAATGTCGGTGGGAAGCACTTATGCTTCCATACACTGAGAAGACGCGTGATTTGTTGAAACTTCCGGTGACATTTTCCGTGCGGCGACCTCGAGTGTATTCCAACCCGCGCCGTTAGCATTCGGCTCGACCAAGAGGGAAAAGACGTATTCGATTCTGATTGTGAGAATTACGCCTCCTCTTCGAGGACCAAGATTGAGCGCTTAGCTCTGAATGGAAATCATGCAACCTCGGATAATTCCGTTCGATGTGCCCGTCTTCGAGGGATGGTTTCCGCTCCCGTAGGAGTGAAGCAGCCCCTTCGAGTTCGCGTCTTGCTCTCCCGAGAGCCGACGCGCCGAGCATGCTCCCGGGGGAAACTCTTCTCCCGAGATCTGCTGTCTTGGAGGGAACGCTGACGATTCCTTCGATGGAGGGATAGCTCATTGTGGAGCATCACGGCGGGAGGTTATCCATACCAAGAGGTCTAACCCACGGTGAAATGTATAATGCTTGCAGTAGTACTCAGAACACTCGCGAAACCGCGTTCATAATCACGTGCACGTAGGCTAGCGTATTCCGAAACAGATTTAAAGACCGCCATTCGAGACTAAAGAACAACAACCAATCCTCTACGTATCTATCGTCTGCATGAAGCTATCAGTCAAGCAAATTACACCACCTACTGCAGTAGCTGACACTAACTACAGGTTAAACCAACAACACTCAATACTACTGCTCTTAGTACTGCACACAGTACTACGTTCGACATTTTCGTCGCTAGAGACATGTCGGACAGTAACCCGCCGATTCCGTCGCATTATTCGAACGGAATGCTTTCGATCCTTCATGGCGGTCAAAGTCACATCCCTCTAGTGCGCATAGCCGATATCTTGTTCCATCATGCATCTGATATACTCGTAGCAACTACAACTTCTTATAACAATAATCATTCTTGCTCGCGCCGATTCCACCATCGGCGGCGAGATCACTTCGAAAGTATCGAGATCATTCCGATCAGTACTTGGATATTGGGCACTGCGGTCGATGTAGTACCCGACAAGTACTTCGAAGTCGATTCTATCAGTACGGGATATTCAGTAGCGCGTTTGAAACAGAGTTTCTCGGCTCTCTTTCTTCTCAGGTCCTAATGAAGTTCATCGTAATAATAAGTAAAGAATAAAAACCCCCAAAAAATTTAATTGTCCTTTTGTCGCCGATTGCGCTGATCATCGGGTCCCCTTGCGTCGTCTGTGTCAAGCCTGAATTCGGAGAAATGCGGCAGCAAGAGAAACTGATGGAGTTTTCGCACCAACAGTACGAATCGCAGAACACAAAAAAACGGAATCACCACAGTCTACAGCAGCAGCAGCGTCAGACAATGAACAGCAGCTCAAGCAACCTCAAGGGAGACGAGGAGTGCCCTGAGAATTCTTCACAAGGACCATCGCATCCGCCTTTCAACCTCAAACAGCTGTCATATCCAAGAAAATTGGAACGGAATATCTGGTCACTTGGAATTGCCATCGCCGGTGATTACGAACGATTTCGACGAGTCACATCAATCACGACATCTGCAACAAACGTCGGACGCCGTCACTCCCGCCGACGACCCATCGTATGGCCGTGACCCCCACCGACAAACTTTCTGATCCGATATTAATGCTGGAAGAATCGTTTGACCACTTGAAACGAGCGGACGCAGCAGTCGATAATCTTCTATCACTCAGTCACACGAAGCCAAAACCTTCCTCTTCATCTTTCTCTGACCAGTCCGCCGATCGGGATGAGTCGATGAACGAGTCAATGTCGAAGTCTCCAGAATGGTCCTCCGGGAACTTCACAAACTCATTGTGCTTCATCCCGCCGACCGGATGGCTCAACCACGACGAAGGAGCGGCGACCGCTAAGATCCCTCGGGTTTCGATTTGAGGTGCCGCAGTCGCCGCCACGTACGAAGGGTGTGGTCATCGCGGATGAGAGAAACGATTCGTTAGGTTAAAATAACCCTGATCTGAGTATTTCTGCAAGTTTTACAACTCCTAGCACTGATATTATCACGCAATCGCAAGTACTGTTTATTATTCTACACTACTCCATTCGAGAGCCGAAAGACACGTCATAAGTGAGTGTGCGATCCCTTTGATGCCGAAGAACCAAAAGTCCCAGTGAACCTACGAGCGTAAACCACACCATCATCCAAGCAAACGAAGGAACACTCGACGGAGCATGGAGCGGCCGTCTCCATTTGACTTCGATATGGATTATGCCAAGTACACCTCAAGAAAGAACAACATTCCGAGAAAGAAAGATCCAGTTCTAGAAGCGGAGCTATCCAAGCAATGCAGACACCTGTGGACGCAATTTCCGCAAGTAATGAAAAGACCCAGGCTTTCATCAAGTAATGATCGCTGATCGACATTCAAAGGAACCTACGACCGCCCGGAGATGATTTGAGCAAGAATCATCAGCCGCCACCTGTTACCACCAGCTGCGGCTCAATTCACTCATCCGACTCGTAGGCTCCAACGCGCCATCCCGTGTCGTCGTCGTCAGTCGTCAGTCCCGCCGTGGAGGGGACAATGCCGGCAATGAGTGGTTTGTATACTACCGATGGTGATCGGCCACCCTCCGGGGACGCAACAGCGTTATCAGCACGACGATGGCGATACGCATCAATTTATCACGAAACAGAGCCATGCGGCATCCCACCACGCAAGATTGTGATCTCTGCTGTCGAGCTGCAGCACTGCTCACCAATCACATACGCAAAGCGATTTGCGTGATCATGACCCACCGGATACAACGGGAACGTTGCCTACGGTTACCTTAACGAAACCTTACCCAAACAGCCGAAGCCCAAAGAGAACTACGACAACGATCGAACTCTTGCGCGTGTTCCGGAGAGGAGTTTTCGAGCAGAGCGAATCCAACCTAGCCGCCGTTTCTAGCAGAAGCAGCCTCCGGCGCCGTGCTTTCTCCACTACGGGATCATTATCGAATACCCGATAGCTCTCCGATAGAGAGGTTATAAGCCTCAGAGCAGATAGGCAACTAACGATCAATCTACTCGCCATCGTACATCAAATACCGAAACTTTACTAAAGCACCGCTTTCGTCCCGCCGAACCGGAATTTCAAACGTTGCCGCCACCATATGGGCAAGTTTTGCATCCTATATCGAGTTGTCAGTTATCGAACTACTGTTGTTAGACGTCCTTTGTCAGGACACACTTGAGCCTCTGTAAATAAACTGTGAATTTTTGTGATATGCGAATACGAAATAAAAATCATTGTCCACATTTCGGTCGAGCGAACGTCGTCGTCGACCGACTACTCTTCCATACAACAACAGCGTGTTTTCCTTTCCCTCATTGACTCTCCTCTGCTGCTCCTGAA